AAAACAAAGATTTGGTTGAAGAAGTACAAATTAAGCCATGGTGACACATATTAAATTTTTGAAAGCTTACTTATCTAAACTAAAGTCTATGCAAATTGACACAGTAAGTTTTAAATCTCTTATTGAACAAGAAAAGATTCATTGTTATTAAAAAGGTTTATATCTTTATTATAGATAATCCAATCAAATTGATTAAGATTGTTCAAAGAAGCAAATCAATCACAAAATAAAGAGCATGGTTACTAAAAAGAATGATATATCAATAAACAAATTTTTCTAGCTACAATATGGACTATATAATTGGAATCTTACATAACATCTAATAAAGGTCTTACTCTCTCCTTAGATCTTTTACTTTGTTTTATAATAGAAATTTATTAAGAAAAAAAAATCACAAAGTCTTAGCCTTATTAGATTCAAGAGCCTCAAGGTATTTTTTAGATAAAGTTTTTATTAAAAAGCAAGAAATATCTTTAATTAAAAAAACCAAATATATACATATAGAAGTAATAGATGGTTGTTCATTGTCTCTTAAAGTTGTTATATAAAAAATTATTCCTTTAGATGTAGCAACTAATAGTTATAATAATTTAATAATATTAAATATAATTAGATCTTTTTCTAATCTAATTATTTTAGGATTATTATGGATAAGATAATATAATCCTCAAATAGACTAGATTTCTTGTGATCTTAATTTTTCTTGTAGTTTATCAAAAGATTTTGCTAAGAAAATAAAAATCTATAATACCAATATATCCAAACCATTATTGATAGATGCAAGAGCTTTCAAACATACTACAAAAGAAATGTAAATTTTTTCTATATACACCATACTTAGTATTGGTAGAAAAAAGATTTCAAGTGACATTTCAAGCAAATATCAAGATTATCAAGATATTTTTGAAAAAAAAAATATAAATATTTTTTTAAATTATTGTTTCTATGATTGTCCCTTAAAGTTTAAAAACAAGCTCAACCACCATTTGGACCAATTTTTATCCTATTATAGAATAAATTGGCTATATTCAAGGAATACATTGATGAAAATTTGGCTAAAAATTTTACATGCTATTCTAAATCTCAAGCCAAGGCTCCCATCTTATTTGTAAAGAAAAAAGATGAATATTTGTAAATGTGTAAGGACTATCAAAGATTCAACAGAATTACCATGAAGAATAGGTATTTTTTATTTTTGATTTGAAAACTTCTTGATCAATTGAATCAAATAAAGATCTATATAAAAATAGATGTATGAAGAGTATAAAATCTAATATACACTATAGAAGGATATTAATAAAAAATTATATTTTGAACTAAGTATAGATATTTTGAATATAATGTTAGGCCTTTTGGACTTAGGAATGCACCAATTCCTTTCAACATCAAATGAGTGATGTCTTTTGTGAATTTTTTGATGATTTTATTATCTATTATTTAGACAATATCTTAATATAATCTAAAAATATAAAAAACTATAAAATTTATATATATCAGGTGTTATAAAAACTAAGAGATCCAAGATTATATGCCAAGATGGAAAAGTGTGTATTTCACATTACTCAAGTTGACTTTATAAGATATATAATCTCTATTCATGGTCTTATGATGGATTTTAAGATGGTTGAGATTATTATAGATTGAAAGATCTCAAAAATAGTTAGGGATATATAATATTTTTAAAAATTTGCTAATTATTACTGAACCTTCATTAAGAATTTTTTTCAAGTTTTAGTTCTTCTTACACATCTAACACATAAAGAAAAAATTAAATAGAGCAAAAAATCTAAAGCATCTTTTGAAGCTTTGAAGATAACATTTATTTCTACACCAATCTTAACATAACACAACGAATAGGTAAAAAAGATGAAGAAGTTATTATATTTTAGAAGATCTTATTTCAAATATTATACCAAATTATCTTAGAAGATAGACAATAGTTGAAAAGAAAGTAAAATTAAAGGTGTAAATCCTACCTTTTTACAAAGTAGGCTTCTACTTACTTTGTAAGTTCATAAATTAGGCAAAACAAGATAGATTAGAAAAATAAAGGATATGAGCATATGTAAGAAGAAGTTAGAAGTTTATTTGAATAAAAATTAACTCAAAAAGAAAAAAATTGATATCTAAAGACGACCAATTATCAACTTGGATAGTAATCAGACCTTGAGGCATATTATTGAGCACCTATGACAAATCCGGGGTTCTTTTGTAGATTAAAGAATGGAATTTCAGAGCGGACTTAATAAGGTTTCTTTAGGCATAAATTTTGAGTGATTTAAGAGTATAATGACTGTAATAGCTTGAAAAAGTCACAGTTGTTTTGGATAATTCTTGAATTCATAAAATAAAAAGAATATTATGTTTTAGTAAATTTTATGAATTTAGCAGTAGATCTATAGTTCAAATTTTGAGGACTTATGTAAATAGTTGTTTGAAATGTATTTTGTAAATTTAAGCTTGATTAAATGGTTGCATTAAACGTTGTTAAATTTCAAGTAGATTGAGGTTTCAAAAATTAGACTTTGAGGGGTAGTTAGGATTTCTAAGATCTTTAGTAATTTACTTATTGGATTTAAATAAAATTTATGTGCGAGGTTAATGGATTTGATTTTCTATACATGTATGAGATTTTAGAACAATTAAATGGATTAAAAAAGAAATATTGGTGCTAAAAATTCAACATTCAGATTGGAGTAGGAGGCCATCTAACATATGAGTAAATTTTAGGATTTTTCTTCCATTTCGTAAGTACGATTATCTTTAAATTTCATGTGCTTGTTGCTAATCTAGTTGTTGAAAAGTGTATAAAATTTTAAGCAAGATCAATGACTTAATCAATAGATATTGAGGTTTTAAATTATATTTGGATTAGGTTGAGTTGCTTTAGGGTTGGAGTTGGATTAGAATTTAGGATTTGATTAAGGTTTGGTTAGGATTTAAAATTAGACTAGGATATAGGATTTGATTTAGGATTTAGGATTTATTTAAGATATAGGATTTGGCTTAGGATTTGATTGAAATCCACTAAGATTTCAATTAGAATTAAATTAGGACTTAGTTGAAATTTATTTAAGATATATTTGTAATTATTCTAATATTTCTTTAGGATTTCTTAAGAATCCTTTCAAGATTTATTGTAGATTTCTTTTGAATTCTTTTAAGATTTCTTGTTGTTTCTTTTGTAATTTTTTAAAGGTTTCTTTTGAATTTGATTAAAGCTTGCTTAATATTGCTAAGATTTAATTAAAATTTATTTAATATTCTATTAGAATTAGGATTTTTTTTTTTACAATTTTCATTCTACTTTCTACAGCCAAGTGCCAAGTGTCCAGTGTATAATATGACAATGGTTGTCAAAAAAGATAGTATGTCAAAAAATAAATTTGTCTAACTACAATAAAGACCGTGTGACTAAAATCTTGTACAATACCTAATGAAGGTCCTATTCTCTCTTCAAAACTGTCTCTTTGTTTTATGATAAATATTATATTTAGATCTAAACATCACAAAGTCTTTGCCTCATTAGATTCAAGAGTCTTAGTATGTTTTTTAAATGAAGAATTTTCTCAAAGATATAGCATATCTTTAGTAAATAAAATTAAATCTATTCATGTAGAAGTCATAGATGATTGTCCATTATCTTTAAAAAGTATTATTCATGAAACTCTTCCTATGGAAGTAACAAATAATGGTTATAGTAGCTTTGTAATATTTAATATTATTAAATATCATTTTAATCTGATTATTTTAGATTTATCATGGAGGAAGCCAAAATTTCATCATTTAATGAAACTAATGCCACACAACAAGTTCAAGAGATGAAATAGAAGAACTTCCAATTGTGTAACTATTAAGTTAATTTAAATCTTAGTATTAAAAATTCAATTAACTTTAAGCCTTTATTAAAATGATGAATAATAGAAAAAATAAAGATAGAAATTTATATATAATAATTGATTAATTACTTAAAAAAAAATCTCTATAACAATGAATATTTGAAAATAAATAATTATTATTATAATAGAAGTTAAGAAATATAACTAAGGTATACATAATACTTATTTATAGTTATTTTGGTCTTTACATGCAAACTTTAGCAATCTAAGGCAAGTATTTTCAACTTATTCTAAAATAATATAATTAATTAATTAATTAATAGATAAATAAATAAATAAATAATTAATTAATAGATAAATAACTAATTAATTAATTAATAGATAAATAATTAATTAATAAATATATATATAAAAAATTCTTAAATTTAGCCAATACAGATTTAAAAGGTATAGACTAAGAATAAAGACCCCTCTAGTGTCTAAACTATCTTTTTATGACTTCTTATGAAACAGCATAAGGTGCTTTATTCCCTTACACAGGGAAGTGCAAATTTTGAAAATGGGTAGACTTTGCCTTGCAAGGATCACTAGGTATGGGCAAAGTCCAAGAATAACATTGGCCACCCATTGACCATGGAAGGAGGCCCTTATCCCAAGACCCTTTTCTGAAAAACCTCCAAAGAAGCAACTCCATGGTTACACCCAAGCATCACCAACACTTTCTCCTTCAAAAGACAAGCAACTTCAAAGGAAATTCTTACATCTTGGTTTGGCGTGAGGCGCTGGATGAGGGGAGGTGAATACGGCACCGTAGAATCACTAGCCAAGAACTTGACCAAAGAGACCCAGCAGGGCAGGGCAGGGCAGCCTGGGCCCAAAATTGACCAGGTTTAGCAGCAGCAGCACTGGGTGCAGACAGAGTGCACGGTGGAGCAGAGGTCGTGTACGCTGAGAGCCACTTGTCGTTCCACACCCCACCAGCTTCGCCTTTCCCCTCAATGCATGCCATCTACGACATTAATTATTGCCCACAAGTGGAGCCATTGTATTGGCTCTCCTGTCGTTTGCCTAGCGCTTGTTGTCGTTCCGGGACGATGCGCAAGACACCCTTGAGCTGCTTGAATTGGAAATAATAAATAAGCATCTAAGACTGTTTGTAGTCCTTGACGTTCGGCAATTGAATCTTCTGATTGAGGATCTCGAATTTCGCACCCGCAGTCTGTTCTTGTACTTACACGTGGAGGTTATGAGCTTGCGTGTTCCCGGTCCATTTTGTCGAATGAATTAGGTTCTTTGTCGCAGATGCAGAGCATGCTGACAATTTGCTACCGAGCAGAATCAAAATCTTCTGCTGCTGATTTGTCACAGTATTGTGAGGATCAGGAATTTTTACCATTGATTCCGATCAGTTGTGACTGCCTTCTTCCAATTCAGCACAGCTCTGCTGTGCATCTGGCTAGAGGTCAGAAAAATTGTATTGAGATTGTCTGTGAGCAGCCTACAAAGAAGAGTCCGAGCTTGCACCTATAAGCTAGAGACTAGATCCTTTTTTCTTGTCTCCATAGTGTGATGTTTCGTCATCTCTTCAGTAGGTTGTTTGCAGGCATTACGACAGTGTGGTGCAGCTGCACTGCAAATTTGATCCTTCTAAGTCTCATCTTCTTTTTTGGAAAAAGTCCCCTCATACATGTATTCGTGTCATTTTCTCTCGTCAGCTTAGGTTGCGATCGAGCTTCAAAATCTAATTCTATTGTCAACGTTAGATCACAACCCTTTAGCCTACACTAGCTGGAAGTGGTGTCGTGATAGTGGCAGCGATGGAGCCAGCCATGGACACAACTGGAAGAAGGTCGCTTTTCCCAGACTATCTCTATACCTCGAGGGCCGTCTTCCAACCTCAGAATTCTTGTGTAGCCGCTACAAATAACACCGGTGTCTTCGCACAACATTCAAGCAGACCAGGTACAAGTTCACCATACCTCTTGCCAAAATTGCTGCCAATTAGAACCGCAGGGCCACCGTCGCCAGCCTCTCCAACCATCACTATCCCATCCGGTGACGAGAGCAACAGGATTCAGATGTATTCCATGGAGTATTTTCTAGCGTGCGGACTAGGTGGCCTGCTCTGTTGTGGATTGACGCACACGGCCGTCACCCCCATTGACGTTGTGAAATGCAACATGCAAATTGCACCAAAGAAGTACACTGGTGTCCTCGGAGGATTCCAGCTGGTAGTCAGGGAGGAGGGCGTGCGCGGGCTCTGGCGCGGGTGGGCGCCAACATTCGTGGGCTATTGTATTCAGGGCGCGGGTAAGTATGGATTTTACGAATACTTCAAGAAGCAGTACTCCGATGCGGTCGGGACTGAGAACGCCACCAGGTATAAGACCGCCGTGTTTCTCGGCGCTTCGTTTAGTGCAGAGTTCCTAGCGGATTTGGGGTTATGTCCATTTGAGGCTGTAAAGGTAAGGGTGCAGACGCAGCCTGGGTTCGCGAGAGGGCTATCGGACGGGCTGCCTAAGCTAATTGCGTCAGATGGATTCGCCGGGCTGTACAAGGGTTTGGTGCCGCTGTGGGGGCGGCAGATCCCTTACACCATGATGAAATTTGCGACGTTCGAGAGCACAGTGGAGGCCCTGTACACACACTTAGTGCCGGTGCCTAAGTCGGAGTGTTCCAAGCAGACGCAGCTCGGGGTGAGCTTCACCGCGGGATATATCGCTGGGATCGCATGCGCCATCATCTCCCACCCAGCAGACAATCTAGTTTCCTTCCTCAACAACGCCAAGGGCGCCACGGTTTCGCAAGCCGTGCAAGAGATGGGTGTCACAGCGCTGCTGACGCGAGGCTTGCCGCTTCGTATATTCATGATCGGCACCCTAACTGGCGCTCAATGGGGCATTTACGACTCCTTCAAAGTGTTTGTGGGTTTTCCCACCAGCGGCAGCAGCGGCGACAACGACACCGAGGCCCGCGTTGAACACTGACCATAACGTCCTCGTAACAATGCCGAATTTCTCTCTTTTTAGATACGATAGGTAACTCAATTCTTAGCTTCCTTCCTTTGATTTTTTGCTTCACCGCATGAGTGATTCGCTACCAGTGGCATTTCTTCTTTCACTTGCAAATTTCACTTCAGTTTAGCATAAGCAGCGACAATCCTCTCGAACTCCTGGAGAGCTGTAAACAGTCTGTAGCAGAATCTAGATTAAACAACCGTGGTCAAGTTTACAGGACAATTGGAAGATTCAACACATTTTATCTGTAAGTACTAACTGCAATATCTTCATCTTTTATTCACTCAATATATCAAATCCTTCAATACATTCATAGATAAGTCTAATTTTAATGTTTTTTGTGCAACAAAAAATAAGACTATATATGTGCTAAATAAAAAACACAAATTGTATTATTTATAATACCATTCCATTTTTATATGCAGTTACTACTTAATGCAAGCATATACTAACTACTACTTCATGTTTTTTGTAATATTAATAAATTAAATAAATGGATTTTTATTTTTCCTATATTTTCTTAAATTGAAACAGATGTTTATTAAAATTTGACTTATCAATATAATAATTTCTTTAAAAAAAAACTTTAAAATGATGCTTAATGAAGAAGAAGAAGAAGAAGAAGATATATTATTATCAAACCATAATAAGTACCAAACATCAAAATACACAATAACTTTTATTTTATTTTTTTTAAACTAAAAGAAGTTATAAAATTTGAAAACATTTAAAATTATAATCACAAATTTTGAATTATGAAAAATGGTAAAATAAAAAAATTGAATTAAAAATTACATACATTTTTATATACCTATATAATTATTTAAAATAAAATGTATTTATTTTTAAAGATAAGGTAACTTTAAATATAAATTTATATAAATTATATAATTTATTACCAAAGTTTTTTTATATAAATTATAGATTTATCTTTTATTAAGAAATAAAAACAAAAACATCTACTATTAAAACATAATAGATGAAAACTCTAAAGATTCTTTGGCCTATTTTTAGGAAGATTTCTTCTATTTTAATTTTTTTCAAGCTCATATATTATTTAAAATAAATTTAAGAAAAATTATTGTCTATAGAAATCATTCTGATCACTTCAATTTCTCTAGGTATTTAATTTGAAGGTATTACTTGTTTGTTTGAGTGCTTAAATAGATCCATTAATTAAATCTATTTTATTTTATTTTTATAGCTTTATAGCATTAATATAGTAATATAGGTGCCTTAAAAATATTTTAAATCTTAAGATGAATTTGAATGACTTAATGCCAATAGTTTGGAACTTAAGTTATCTAATAAGGTTGCTAAATTCTTCTATTGACTACAAATAGAGTACCACAATGATATCATAGCAAGTGTTTAGGGTAAAATACTTAATTAATTGAGTCATTAGTAGCATTAATGCATATTTGTTGAATTAAGTAAATAAAAATAGAATAAGTTATGTAGTAAAAGGTATTATCTTAGGTAAGTTGCTAATGGTCAAAAGATTGACTCTTGGAGTATGGAAAGGGCATCCTATGGATATAGGACAAGGTCAAGGACCAAGAGTCAAAGTCAAGAAGATAAAGTATGAACTAAGAAATATCCAAAGACTAGGTAAGAGTAATTAATATTTGGCATAGAATGCCCTTATGGTTAATAAGATGCCAAAGAATCATAGAATATCCTTGAGGTACGTTAGATGCCTAAAGACCTTAGAACCTAAGATCATGTGCATAAAAGTCAAAGAGTGGAAGTTATCTTGTAGGACAACAACTACAATCTATAAGTATTGGGTGTTGGAAGTGAGAGACATCTTATACTATACTCTCTCTTTATATGCAATCTTGCTAATGCTATGTATTGTGACTTCAAAGTTCTATTTCTTCAATAGGTTATGAGTCCACTCATATCCTATTGCTGATTTTATGAGCCCACTCATAACCTTCTTGCTGATTTTTGAGAGCATTACGACTTCTTCTTACAATCTTTTTTTTGATACAACTCTTTCTTAGACATGGCTTCAAGTGAAGGTGAAGGATTGAGAGTTATTGAGAAGTTTAGAGGTGACAATTTCTACCATTGGAAGGTAAAAATGGAGCTTTTGTTGGCGTCTTTGGATCTTTGGAATATTGTAGATGAAAGTGAAGAGGCTCTAAGCAAAGATGCTGATATGAAGGAATAGAAGGAGTTCAAATGTCGTAAGAAGAAGGCTTTTGGATTGATTGCAACCAATGTGGATGAAGCCAACTTCTCCCACATTATCTCTTGTAAATGACAAGCGAAAGCATGGAAGACTCTTTGCAACATCTATGAGAGCAAAAACTTATCAAACATCATCTATAAGAAGAGGAAGTTCTTTACTTGCAAGAAGGAAGAAGGTGAAGACTTCATGGCTCATGTCAATAAGGTAAAGGCTCTTGCAAACCAACTAGCAATTGTTGACAAGCCTTTAGAAGAAAGTGATATTGTCATGACCTTGTTAATGAGCCTTCCCGAATCCTAGAACTACCTCGTTGTGGCATTCGAGTCCATCAAGCTAAAAGAACTTATAATGGATTATGTGACCGCAAGACTTACCCATGAAGTAACCAAGAAGAAAGAAAAGGAGCCTCAAAGTGAAGATTCAACACTCTATTCACGTCAAGGCGAGGGCAACTATTTAAATCAATGAGGTAATATCAAATCTTACTTCATTTGTGGCAAAGTAGGCCATTTTGCTCGAAATTACTACAAAGACAAAAAGATGAAGAAAGAGAATACAAATAATGTGCAAGATGAGTTTGGAGGACAAGATTATGCATTCACAGCAATAAATAGAACCTCTATGGCTGCCATGTCAAGATGGATTGTGGATTCAGGTTGTTCCAAGCATATGACACCTTATAAGTGTTCATTTGATACTTATGAGGCTATTTTAGCATCAAATGTAGTGTTGGCGAATAGTGGTAGATATGAAGATATTGGAATTGGCTCTATTATGGTGGAGGTGGTTGTGAATGGACAAACCAATAGGATCAGACTCAAAAACGTCGTTTATGTGCCTAAGATGAAGCAAAACCTACTTTCGGTGAGTAAACTTGTAATGGAAGGTTTTAAAGTTCAATTTGACATGAATGGATGATTAATAAGATCATTGAGTGGAGACAAGGTCTTCAAAAGCTTGAAAGAGGGAAATTTGTACTATCTCATTTATAAGAAGGTGAATGGAGTGGAGGTAGCCGTATTTGATGAGTTTACATCAAACCAGGACAAGTTGAATACATGGCATTGTCGCCTTGGCCATTTGAATGTGAAGAACATGAAAGAGCTCAAGACCATGGTAAGTGGCTTAGATCTTAGCAATACAAGCCATATTGCAAAACAACTTGCATGTGAAGGATGCAACAAGGCAAACAACAAAGGGCCTTATTTCCAAAGAGTATAGCAACACGTGCTACCAAGTTGCTGGAGATTGTCCATTTGGATGTATGTAGACCTATGAAGAATACAAGTATTGGAAGATCAAGGTATTTTCTTTCTTTCATTGATGATTATTCAAGAAAGATTTGGATCTACATTCTTAAAGCCAAGAGTGAATGCTTTTGGAGGTTTAAGGAATTTAAAGCACTTCTTGAGAAACAAAGTGAATGCTTTTGGAGGTTTAAGGAATTTAAAGCACTTCTTGAGAAAAAAAGTGAATGCAAGATCAAGGTGCTGCGTACGGACAATGGAGGTGAGTAAATGTCTAAGAAATTTGATGTTTATTTGAAGAATGAAGGAATTGCTAGATAAACCACAACTCCATACACTCTACAATAAAATGGTGTTGCTGAAAGGGCAAATCGAACCATTGTAGAGATGGTAAGGAGCATGCTTCATGCTCAAAACCTTGGCTATGAGTTTTGGACGGAAGTTGTGGTGAATGCAGTGTATACAAGAAATAGGTGTCCAACAAGTACTCTTGCATCAATGACACTACAAGAAGCTTGGAATGAGCGACAACCTTGTATTTTTCATATGAGGACCTTTGGTTGCATTGCATATGCAAAAACAGTAGATTGTATGAGGTCCAAGTTTGATGCAAAAGGTACAAAGTGTGTGTTTCTTGGTTATTAAGAAGGTACTAAGGCATATAGGCTAATGTGCTTGGAAACCAAGAAGTTCATCAAAAGTCATGATGTTGAGTTTTTGGAGTACAAGAGTGCTTGTGAGCACTTAGAGATGTATCCAAGTGAGAGTAATGGTGTATTTGTAGACATATCTTTGAATTCAACAAAGAAACAAGAAGAGGAAGATAATGAAGATGATGAAGATGAAAAACCAAATAAGGTTGAAAAGATGAAGGCTCTTACAATTGCTAGGACTAGCAATGAAAGAAATGAAGATGTTAAAGATTGGAATGATGATAATGATGAAGAGTACCAACCATTGAGTGAAAAACGAAAAGGTTTAAGAGTTGGAAAGGAACAAGGACTACAACAAGGTGAATGTTCTTCTATAAGTGAAAAGAGATATCCTTTGAGAGAAAGAAGGCAATGTGGCGAATGGTTGAAGGATCACATCTTTCCTCGAGTAAGTAAAGAACATACAAATATTACTCTTCTTGCTGATTCATTATCTTTGTGTGATGCTATGAAGTGTGAAGATGCAATTAAGTGGGAGAAGGCTATGGAAGAAGAGTACCAATCTCTTATAGACAATGGTACATGGAAATTGGCACCTCTTCTAGCAAATCGATCTAGTGTTGGTTGTAAGTAGGTGTATAGGACCAAAAGAGATATAATGGGTGTGGTGATGAGGCACAAGGCAAGATTAGTTGCAAAAAAATACTCACAAGTTGTTGAAATTGATTTCAATGAGACTTATGCATCCATTGCCAAATTCACCACCATTAAGACCATTGTAGCAATTGGAGCAACAATGGATTTGGAAATACACCAAATGGATGTGAAGACGGCCTTTTTGAATGGAGAATTGTAAGAAGACATCTACATGGACCAACCTCAAGGATTTGTATAAGGCAAAGAACATCTTATGTGTAATTTGAAGAAATCCTTGTATGGATTGAAACAATCACCAAGGGCATGGTATCAACGAATTGACACCTTCTTTATCAATGAAGGATTTGTGAGGAGTGAAGGTGATCATTCATTGTATGTGATACAATCTTGAGAGTTCTTGCTAATTGTAATTCTTTATATTGATGATTTGATCATCTTGGCTAACAATATGGAAAAGATGGATTGCATGAAGGCCAAATTAGAAAAAAAATATGAGATGAGTGATTTGGAAGAGTTGCACTATTACTTGAGAGTGGAATTTGTAAGAGATCATGGTAA